GCCAATTGGCATTGATTTTCTTTTAAACTGGAGGAAAAGAAACTTGTGTGAACTTGTAACTTCCACGATACTGATATGAATGCTGCAAATTTATCTCTTCATTGTTTCTTTTCTCACATTTGAATTCTTTTAATCAAAGAATAGGCCAAACCTCCTGACCCCACCCATCTCCAATTTTCAACTGTATGATCTACAATCTTCTCGTTCTTAAGCATTCAAGATGTTGTGCATCAAGTAGTTTTCCCTTCAGCATTCTGTGGTGTATGTAGGGACTACTCTGCTGCTGGCTGTCAAATGCATTTTTCCAAAATTGCTTTTCCTGCTCTGGAGTTAAGCAATGATAAAATAGCGAGGAGATTTTACCAACTGAATACTTGATAGCTGCAGATTTCCACTGCAACTAGTAAGTGATATTATTAGACATAATATCTAGGAGGCAAACTTTTTTAATCCAGAAGTGATCTTGAATTAAAGAGTTTGGAAGCCAGAAAATATCAAGGAATGTTTCATATATGCTTTCTTCTGTGTTCCCTGTCTCCTAGACATCCACCTACTTTTTTTTTTTTTAAAAAAGGATAGTGGTCTCATATAATTTTTTGTCTGAGCTAGTATGACCATTTCTAGAATTTGGAAGTTTTTTTATTTGTAAATGTTTCCAACCTTTTTTGTTTGATGTGGTGTTTATGTTGATCTATGGTATGGGCAAATCTCTGTTTTTTCCAAGGTACTGCTCAACTACTGGGTGAATATGATCACTCTCAGCTCTCCAATCCCCTGATTAATTTCAGGGCTTATTGTCTTCACTTGATTCCTGATAAATCCCTCTTTCCTAATTTCTCTGTTTATTAGTATGTGATCCTTTTGAGAAAGGTAAGACTCTTGGTATGCCAACTTCTTCTAGTACTTTTCCCTTCTAGTACTCCTTCCTTTCGCCCTAGCCCAGAACCTGTTCTCAGTCAGATGAAAGAATGTCCTGGGTGCACTGAGAAGAATCTTTGCTTCCCCCCTCATCCTGCCCTGTCTGAATCCAAGAAGTGACAACAGTGTCATAAGCAATCAGATTATTTCATATGTGGGTTTGCAGAACCACAAGTGGTTGAAACTCTGCTAAAACATCTGTTTCCTGACAGGTTGCGTTTATTATTCCTGAAGTAAACTTCCAGAAAATGACTTCGTGTCCTTAACAGTAAGAATTCAACAGACTGGAGATCAGGCTGACTGCTAAGTGGAAAAGTTGATGGTTTTTGTGAAGGCACAGTACGGCCACCTGTGTACAATTACATTGTGGAAATTAGTGTTACATTTGTCTGGTATCACTTTTGGTATGACAAATTCTGGAGGTAATAAAACAATCCTCATTTTTGTGGGTTTTTAAGTCAACTTCCCTTCTCTCTCCACCCATGAATGCCATGCATATGCCACTCTTAAGCATGCTGGGTTTTGTACTGTTGGCTGAACTTGCTCATATCAGCTTGTAGAGATTTTTTTTCCCCCCCCTCATACTTACAGGACAAATTTCTGAGGGAGGAATTCAGTTATCCTTTGTACTTCCTTTTCTACGGTTTTATACATTCAAGTTATAGCCCCAAACCTGGTTTTGGTTTTAATCCTTATATTGTTTTAAGTCTTGATTTCCAGTACGAAGGATCACAAAATGGCTCCTCTTCATGGTGATGTTTCTTCTTCTCCAAACCAGGAAAAAAGCAGGCAGTGATTAAATCCAAGCAGTTTAATTTTATATCAGTGTACAGTCTTTTCATTTGAAGATAACCCCTTTTTAAAAGCCTAGCCAAGTAGGCTACAGCTGAGTAGATTTTTTGGTATCCGGACTGAGGATTAAAATGAAGCTGGTTCCTTGAACATTTTCTGGTAGTTGTAGCAAGATCATGCCTTGTCTTATCTGTGAAGTGTTCCCTTTGCAGAGATCCTGCTGTTTCTTCTCTTGTTCCTCTTGGTGGAGAGGAAAATAACCTTAAACCAAGTTTGTTATGAGAGCTAGGAAACTGCAGTGCATCTCACAGTTACATGCTTTTACTTACTGCCTCCTGCTATATTGCTTTGAGCAGTGGAATGATTTCCTTCACCATAACGTAAAGTCACAACTGTGATCATCAGCTGCTGAGATGAAGAGGGTATTTCATGCCACACAACTGTTTGTCATGGCTCCCGTTAGGTCAGTGGTGTCGCATGGTTGGTGTCAAATCTGCCACGCTTGCATGTGACTGCCTCTTCTCCTGTGTTGTTTTTAGTGCTTTTGCTGTAGGTTTTCCCTCTACCTCCTATTAAAGGAGGGTAGTGAAACCTCTGCAGTTCCAGAGACCCAAAGAGCTAAACCACTGCCCTAGATCTGTCATAGTTCAGCACTAGCTAGTCAATTGAAAAACAGGCTTCCAGATAATCAGGGAAAAAGTTTCTGAATCTGCTCAAAGCTCACCACCAACATTGGATTTTACGTGTCCTCCTCTTTTAGGACTGTGTTTTCTTTTTCTGTTTACATTGTGGGGTTTTTTAAATGTCAACTCAAGCTGAAGCCTGAAAGCAGCTTCATGAGTGCACCTTCTCCACTTGCAGAATGCCATTGCAAGGCTTGTGGTGTTGACAGTGGCTGTACCTGAGACTCACTGAAGGAAGGAGAGAACCTTGGTACTCACCTTCAGCAAGGCTGGGAACATTTGCTGAACTTGGCCTTGGGGAGTTTAAAGGAGTGAGATCTCTTGTTATTGCTAACAGCAACAAGTTGTTAGGCCCTTTGCAATTAAGTGAAAATCTCATGTGTACTAACCACACAGTGTGTTTTCCCCAGCAAATAAGAACTACATATGTGCAGCACTATGAATAGCTTGTTATACAGAGTTCCTTGTCTCCTGGGGAGGTGGTGTGTGTGCTGAAGGACAAGGGTTAGGTACTTGGCTGAACACTTCTGCCCAGCAGGGTGGCAGCAAGGGTTTAAGAGCACTGAGAATTATATGCAGTGAAAAGTAATAATAATTTATGTGTTCGTGATCGTTGTAATGGCGTTGAAGGGTTTATCTTAAAGAGCAAAGAATCCCAAAGCAGTATTTTCATGTATTTGTCCGTGTTCTGGTTTTGTATGAACTGCAGAGGATGCAGAATAAATGGGTGGCTGAGGCCCCCTGGCGCCAGCAGAACACACTGCACTTCTCAGGCAAACGGCCCCAAATTGCACTTTGTATTTACTTTTATTTTTTTAATGCGTTATATTTATTTTTATTTTTTAATACAAAGAAACACTTTCTAGGCTAAAATATCTCATGATGTAATGATTTTTATATGCAATTGCTTCCTTACTGGAAACATGAATACTCTTTTCATTTATTTTTCATGTCTTGTTTTGCAAAGCTGTGCAGAAAATGAGAGAGGGGACTCTATTTGCAACAATTATCATTAATATTTGCATGTTAATGTTTACAAGCAAAAAAAATACAAGGAAACTGAAAACTTGTAAGGTACTTTGTTTTTTACCACAGTTGTATCTCTGCCCAAGAATGACTGGGAGAAAAAACTACACAGCTAATGGTGTCTGATGCTGTGGTATAGTATTTAACTTGAGGGTGGGAGGAATGGGGAAAAAGAAGTGCTGGTGAAGGAGGAGCAAGATTGTTGTGGGGTGTTGTTTTGTTTTTGTGGTTATTAGCCATGAGGTTTTGGTCAAAACACTAAGACCTCGAGAATCATTTTCAAATGCTGTGATCTAAGATACAGTAGTGTGGACAGATGTTAGAATAGATTCCCTTTGTGCTTAAAATATAGCTTAAAAGTCTATATTCACAACTAGTGTAAATTAGTACAGAGCTATTCTAGGAAAAAGATTATCATCTAGAGAATAGCTCCATGTAGGGTAACTTAGTTGTGTCTCTTTTCAATATTTCTGTGTTGCACTAGTCTCAGAATTTCTTGGAAGTGTGACTTTTGTCAAAATCTAGGTATTTTCTCTTGGAACAAAGTTTTGTCATTCCATCGGGTATGAATAGCAGGTAATGAAGGTGTATAAATTAATTAATTTGGGTGTTTAGTCAGCTAGTTGGTTTGTCACTCTAAGTAGTCTATAATGCTCCTCCTCATCTTGCTGTTGCACAAATTTTTAATAAGCAAGAGAAGGTGATGACATCCTCTACAATGTTATTATATGTTACTCCTTAACAATGAAATAAAAAAATAGAATGTAAAACTAGGACTTTATAATTAGATATGCTTCGCTTTTTGGACATTTTATAAACCAGTACCTTCAGAGAAAAAGTTGCCAAACAGACCTGAAATGTCTGAGGGGGAGTGGGCAGAATGAGGAGAGTGAAAAATTAAAGGGAATCTCTCTGGATGACATGAGATCTGTGGCTTTTGTTCTTATTCTGGGTACACTTGGGAAGCCTGTTGTTACTCATGGTCTCTGTATAAATTTCTGATCACTTCTTCACAGAAACTCCTCTTTAAGTCTGTCAGTTCTTACAGTAGATAATAACTTTTGTTAAAATATACAGTTATGTCAAAATGTTCTGGGTGGTAAACCTCATTGTTTCTTTCCAAAGATGATGAGGTTGATACTTCCAATGTTGTAAAACAATATGTGCTGAAAATGAAGTTTTCTTACCTTTCTTTTGTTTCTTGTTTCACATTGGGAGATGACTGAAGGCTGTAGGTGTGATCTAGGCAGGCCTCTATTTTCTAAATAAGTTCCAGTTACCATCTGAGTTTCAAAACCTCATTAGGTGAGGTATTGAATCATAGTTTCTATCACAGAGAGTATTTTCTACTTTGGCATAATTTTCTGCTGTTCTTAAGGACCAGTTCAGGATGAATCAAAACCCTAGATTTTGGGGAGTTGTGTATAGCACTGAACATATCCTACTATATTCAATAGTGATCCCTTAAACTGTTCTGGAACTGTAAATGTCTCACTTGTGTTTGGAATAGTCATGGAAAACTATATTTTCACAAATGGAACGTTCACTTTAACATGTTGTTGGTTTTGTGCCTTTTTTCAGTTCTTCAAGGGTCTTATGCATAGCATATGAGGTTTTGCAAGGTTTGCAATATATGAATAAACATGGAATGGTCCACCGAGCACTCTCACCTTGCAACATTCTTTTGGATCGAAAGGTACAGCTGCACGAATAAATCGATGGCTTCGTTTGCTAATAACGAGTAGCATTCTATGTTGTATATGGAGACTGGGCAGTCACATATCTGCTGATGGGGTGAATGAAACCTCTGTATCTGAAAAGGTGTTGGTTTTGTTTATTTGTTTTTAAACTACAGTTTTCCTCTATTTCTGAAATTTCAAATGTATTTCAGAACTTATTTTTCTATTTTCACATTTTCCTTTATCCCAAACCACATTTTTTTTCTCCCTTTTTTTCTGAAAGTGGTAACTTAAGTCTACTTGTCATCATTGTAATTAGTTACAAGACCTTCCTGGCTGTTTGAGTAGGAAAATACTTCCTATGACTATTTCGATGTTAATAGTGTTTCATGGTGATATGATACTTGACTTTTAAGATGTTAGCATATTTCTTTGTTTGTGTTAAATTATTCAAACTTAAGTATCTCTCAATTCTGTTAGACTATTGATTTGGCAGTGTGGAATACTGGTTCTGCTCCTAAGAGTTCAGAGAAATTAATAGCTACTGTTGTTGTACTCAGAGCAGCTGCTTCGTTTGAACAGACAGCTAAAGAGCTTAACCTTTCTGCATAACCCCTCTCTCCTTCCCCTTCTTGCTCAGTTTAGATAGAATAACTAGATCCTCCCCTTGAAGGTAGAAAGAGAAGAGAGGACAAAGGAAATAAAAAACGTATTTTTTTATATGCTTGTAAACAAATGAAAATCATAATAATGCTCTAACATGCAAAAGTACTCTAGGATTTTAAGATATTCCTAAAATCAATAAAAGAACAAAAGAGGGCCGTGAGACCATAAACTTCTAAGCTCTCCCCTGCCCTTTGAGTAGCCTTCTCTGTTGCACCATCTGGAGGCTGGCTGAGTGTAATTCAAAATCCAGCAATAAATAAGACCTCAGTTTAACTTCTATGCCAATTTTTTGTTGTTTTGCTGTTTACTTCCTGCCTCCACAAATAAAAGCAAGCACCTGAAAAAGACTTTTTTTTTAAATAGGACTTGATAGAGGTAGGGAGAGCAAGATAGTAATGAGTTGATGGAGGGACTGGACAAGCACAAGCAAGATTGGTTAAATGGAAGAGGTGAGGGAATAGTGGTCATGTTTAGGAAGTTCTAGGAGTCAAACAGGATTGTAAACAGTTTAGAAACAGGAAAAATGTTCAGTAGAATATTTAAGCCCTTTCGATTTACTGAAGCTATACTGTAACTTAGAAAGGTCTGATGTTCTTGTGTGTGTTCAGAACAAAATGATTACTTAATGCTCTTGGGAAGTAAAAAGCCTTAGAAATAAGGACCTTTGTAACTTGCAGTGAACTTTTGCATAACAGATGATGCAGAAATATGACAGTGACTTTTTCTAGAAATCTGTCCTCTGACAGCTAATGCAAATTGAAATCATTTTTGATCTTTTTTCTTTTAACAAAAATGCAGATTCTTGCAATGTCAGATTCTGCTACTCTTGATAATTTATTTTTTCCTTTTCAGGGACATGTGAAGTTGGCTAAATTTGGACTCTACCATATGACAGCTCAAGGTGTTGATGTTGATTTTCCTATAGGGTAAGGATGTAGTTACACAATAAAAATATATCAGTTATATTTTTTCAGGAAATATGTTTTGAGCAATCATCTTTAAAAATGTGCTGTATGCGCAGGTTATAGTTTGTTATTTTAATGTATATCTGTTGCATACACCCCTTACACAGAAGCTTCTGATAATGTCATTTAAGAGGTGAAATGGATGAAAGACAGAAAATGGGTACTATGCAAGCATCTTGCTGTAACTATTTGTTGTCAGTCCCTGCTGCCTGGATTTGCCTTCAAATGCTAGTAGTTCCCTGTGGCCTGGATTCCTGATTTCAAATTTAGGTAAATGCACAATCAATGCTTCATTATTGCACACCACTGTAGGTTTTTTTGTCTCATTTATCATTTTGTGATTTATTTTCAAAGATCCTACCATCTGACCAAAATGGCATGCTTTATTGCAGTGGGGTTTTTGCCACTTTTTGGTTTTTTGAGGTGTCATGTTTTTTGCAATTGAAATACTGAGCTGATTCCTAAAGACGGGGCCAAAAAAAGCAGTGATGTTTCCTTTCAAAACATGATTTCAAATTTTTTTTAAGTATTGTAATGAATTGTTGACAGAAAAAAAAAGTGATAGTATTATTTTAAAATTATCTAGAAGGTATCTAGCAGGTGAAATATGCCCTCAACACCTTTTGTTACTTTTTTTTGCAAGTTCAAATGTTATTTAGTGGGAACACTATTGATGAAGAATACTGCCACCACTGCCAAATATGAGTCTAAGATAGACTAACTTAAAACACTAATGCTGAAACTCAATGTGCATTTTCTCTGAGATATGTAGACATACTATTTTGAAAGCTGCCATTTCCTCTCACAAAAAGACTGAGCTGGTGATTGAGATTTGACCTTTTATGTAGTAAACACTATATATTTTGCAATTGGAGTGAAACTTTGCTATAATGTGTAGATTTTGACTGAATAAAATAGAATGGTCTGCTTTGTATTCTAGTTTCTCAAAATGCAAAATTGTTCTGATTATATAATGGAAAGGCACACTTTTTGGACAGACAGGATGTTACTTAATGTTGCTGCATCTTTCTAGGTACCCATCATATCTGGCACCTGAAGTAATTGCACAGGGAATAGTCAAACCCAGTGATCATACTCAGTGTGAGAAGCCTCTGCCTTCTGGCCCTAAATCAGATCTGTGGTCTCTTGGTATAATATTATTTGAGCTTTGCATGGTATGTAAGAGGATAATTCTCTTGATTTTAACTCTTTGGGAATAGTTTAATTAACTTGATTGCTACTGAGTATGGGATTAATGACACTTTGCCCATCGCCCAAGCACAAATATCAGAATATGTTAGCATTCCTACCTGGACAGTATTGATGGTTGTTCTAGTAGTAGGATGCATATTGGTGTGTAGGATGTTTGGTATGAGTGTATTGCTTGGATGAGTGTATGTGTTAGCAATGAAGGATGGCTGCCTGTGGAGCCACAAGACCACAACAACCAGGCTGTTCCAATTGTGAGATATTATCAGTGTTATACTTTTTCTTTCTGATGGCATGAAACTATTTCTGCTATAGTGGGGTAAATAACATTTTCTGTTCTTATAGATACTTTTGATACATCTAAAATTCACATGTAGAAGCTTATTTCACTGTCGTTGTATATAGATGTGATACAATGTTATCTAAATATTTTCATGTAGTAGTATTTTACTGTTGATTTGACTTTGTTATTTGTTTAGGGGAGAAAATTATTTCAGAGTTTGGAGATAGCAGAAAGATTGAAATTTATACTTATGTTAGGTAAGTAGCACAAAATGAATTTTTCAAATTTCCAAGCAGTTCTACAATTAGAGTTTTACAGACTAATCAGCTTGTGATGCTCAGACCTAAAGCAATTTACCTTTGTCATCTTTCATGTCCAGAATTAAATAGGCATTTGAAGCATGGTTGGTTTTCTAGGGAAAGTACAGAGGTGGGTGCCAGGAAAAATAACCTTGGAAAAGCTGTGAGTATGTTAACATAAGGGCAAACTATTAAAAAAAAAAACATGCTCAAAAATGGTGGTCGTTTTCATCGTTATTTGTCGTTTTGTTTCAGGAGGTTTCTGAAATAGGTTAGGAATTGTATGATGCTAAAGAAAACTGTCCCTGCACAAACACTGCCCGGTAGGGAGAAGCAGGACTCAAATAGGAAAACAGAAAAGAAAAGAGAGCTGAGAAGTGTTCTGTTGGATCTGGGCTTGTTTCTACCTTCACCTGCAAACTGTAAAACATTACTGTAGATGTGGAATTCTTGCTTAATGTAAATAAGTATGGAACTGGGACTGTTTTTGTGTGTTTTAAAACTTTATTTCTGGTGGGGTTTATGTAAAACCATGGGGAACAGAAGGGCACGAATTTGCAATTTGAGGCTTTAACAGTAAGTTATTATTATCCAGAGCAAATAGTAATATTGTTAAAATTAATTACTATCAGGAGAAACATCTTTTTTCTTCAGCAGTTAGCGCTTAGGTGCTGAAATTCTGCCTGTTTTGGAGCTTTATTAACAAAGCTTCCTGAAGCATTTCTGTCCCCTTCAAGTTGAATTCAAGTTGTGAGTAACCTTTATCCACTGCAAAACATTTAGGTCCTGACTCGGGAATTATTTACTCAATAATGTGATGAAAACAAGTTCTAAAATACCACTTACCGATAACTTACCGTTATCTGTAAGTAGCAACAAAATGAAAAATTACTTCAAGATTCTATATGCAGGTACCTTTAAGGGATTTTTTTTCATTTTTTTCACTTTTTCAAGTGAAAAGACTATTTTAATTTATTTGACAGAGACTGACAATCTGGAGCTACTAAGCCTGCAAGAAGATTTTCACTGTTAGCTTAGAAGTGCTACTCAACTTTCCTTAGGCTTCAGTTTTCTGTCTGCATAGATGATAATAACTTTCCTTTCTGATTTTGATAGTTCACTTTCAAGTGGTGTGGCAATGTTAATAAAAAGCCAGTATCAATAGTGGATTTTATTGGATTGGAGGTTTATCTGATATCCTGTTTAATTGGTATCACTTTTTTCATAATCTTTAATTTTTTATTGTTCTGTTTGTTTTTCAAAGGCTGTGTAGATGATATTGTAACTGTATTGGCTGAAGAACATGGTTGTCTTGATATTATTAAGGTCTGTGAACCTGGTTTACTCTTTCTTGCTGTCTTATCTAGAATACTATTGTTTCATAATATTTCACATGTTTATTTTTTTAACTGATTTGGTCACTTATTGTATTGCAATATGATGAAAAATTTTGAAGTCTAAACTATTATCTAAGATCCTTTCAATAGGTAGTACTGGTAATATTCTTTCCTAAAGTTGCTGTCAGTCTCAGTAAGTGTTCTCACCCACAAAAATAAGGACTAAATTTTAGTGTCTGCATATTTTCAGACATTATGTGAAAGGGTTCTGACTATTAGCAGAAGAAATTTCCCAAGTATTGCATTGTTTCAAGCTGGCTATAGAATATCTAAATTTAAAAATAAAAGTAAAAAGCTGCATACATTGCAAATTTCTCATACTTTTTTCCCCAACTCAAATGTAGGATTGGGAGGTGAGAATAATTGCTTCCCCAGTGTTTAAGTCTTACACAGCTAACCTCATATGTGTGAGATTTTATTGCTCTTGTTGGAATAGCCTGTATGTTAAAAGTTAAGCATGAGCCAAGTGGCTTGCTGAATTAAGACAGTAATAAACAGACCTCCTCCGTATTTTTCTTACATTTCAGGACCATTCTGAAAATGTTATAGCTCTGCTGAAGAAATGCCTTACGTTCCAACCTTCTAAGAGGCAAGTATTCAGTCCAAGGGCGTAGTACAACACGTGGGTTACTATGAAATTAGAAGAAACGTTGCTGAATCTTTTTTTTTTTTTTAAATATTGACGTTTGGACTACATATAAGAAATGCTCGGTTTTGGTGCTTTTCAGTGTTTAAAAGGAAAGAATTAGGGAGGGGACACAGAAATCAGAGGTGCAAAACCTTGAGATTGAATATGAGAATTTTGGGGGAAAAATATTCAGGTATTTGTAGTTCTAAGTTCACAGCTTTTACTGATTCTATGTCTGGAAGTTGGTGGTGGTTGCCATAGCTCTATTATAGCCAGAATAAGGGCTGCTTCAAATCTCTCCTTTCAAAGAAGTTTTTCATTATGTCAGTCCACTACAACTTTCTTCTGAAAATGGAAGTTTGCTTTTGTTCTTTAATCAAGGCTTTGCATTTGTATTTTTCACATCCTTGCTTTGAGCAACTGAAGGGGAATTAATGAAATAGTTCATATTCACATTAAGTGAAGGTGGGATCTAAATTTGGGCTATAAACAGACTGCATGGTTTGTTTTGCTTCATGAATTGAAAAACATTAGTAGACAGTTCTGCTGTTAGGATTTCTGAAATCCAATATAATTTAAAATAACTTGCTAGTATTTTTTACTGAGGATACTTCTCACTGAAATATAACATTTTTGGAAGCACTTTGCTGTAAGTATTTTATTCTCTTTTCTTAATTCAAGGCCAACTCCAGAGGAATTACTGAATGACAGTTTGTTCAGGGAGGTATCCTCTCTATATCCTCCCTTCCACAAACCTGCTGGTCTGTTCTCATCTTCTCCAAGGTGTGCTAATTTAACGCTTCCTGAAGACATAAGTCAATTATGTAAAGGTAAAAGCAGGTGGTGGGATAAATGTTGTAGGAGGGGGAAGGAAAATAAAATGTTATTGCATTTTCTCTCCAAAAGTTTATTCAAAGAAACATTAAATGTTACAACACTACATTAATGAAATAAGTTGTTTAATGGACAGAGGTATAGGCAGACATGTTTTGAGGGATGTATGCAAGTCAAAGGAGGACATATTAATTTTGTGCTCTGACTTCAGAGAATAAATATTTAACATTAGTATTCAAGTCCAGGTTGCAATAGCAGTATCATCTTTTGCCTTTAGAGTTTGGACATGTGCATATACAAGGTAATTCTCTTCCACTAAATTCCGTTGTGGATTGATAGTTGGATTCTGCTGGATTATAGCATCAGATGATTTTTTGAAATATTGGGAAACAAAATCCTTGTGAAAGAGGTCACTTCCTAAGCTAAAAGATTATACTTCCAAGTTTTGAACTACAGTATGTTCAAAGTGTTACCACTCTCAAGTCCTCATTAACTTTTTCTTATGAACATGGAGATGTTTAGAGAATCTCATTGTATGTTTTTTGAAGACAAATATTTTATAACCTATTACAGTGAGTATGGTAGGTGAAGGGAAGAGAGATTATAACTATTCAGTATGAATCACTTGTTTCTTATTTCAAGTCTTAATGCTGTGTTGTATACAAAACAGTGGTTTGTTTTGTTTAAAAACACACAGAAAGCAAAAGTCCACACTTCAATGTATTTGTTTGAGTGTTTCAAGGCAAACTGTAGAAATATTTGCTCTTTTTTTGACTTCTTTCCTTAATTTCCTAAAGGGCACTTGCAAAGAGAAGGTCACTTTTCCTCAAATTTCACATTAAGAGCTTTCAAGCATATTTTTTTTTTCAACGATATGTGTTTAGAGTTGTAAGAAGAAATACAGACTACCTAAAAAGCTGTAATTTATTTTTATGTCATTTCTCACAATAGATGAAGATAATGATTACTTAGCAGAAAGATCAATTGAAGAGGTTTATTATCTCTGGTGTTTGGCTGGAGGAGACTTGGAGAAAGAACTTGTCAACAAGGAAATCATTCGATCAAAGCCACCTGTCTGCACACTTCCCAAGTAAGGATGGAGAAGCACTTTAAGGAAAAGGAGGATGGGTGGATGGAGAAGGCTAGTAATTTTGAGAGAACATATTTAGTTTTAACACCTGTATGTGTGCAAAATATTGAAAATGGCTTTCTTGAACAGCAGGAAATTGTCACTTCCCCAACTTAAGGCATTATCTGAATGCCTTGTATCTGTCAGCTACCTCATCTTCCTGTTGTTGTCTGAAATTTGAAAAGATGCAGGAAAAGTGCAGAATACTGAATTGAAAGTCCCTAAGTTTTGTACACTTTCAAATCACATTAAGTTTTAGTAATAATGTCTCACTGTGCTTCAACAGCATATTTGTAATTGTAAGTTAATTTAATATGTAGTGCAGCAAATTCTCACATTCTGAATTCCCTCTCATAGAGCAGCAGTGCTGAATGGTCAATCCAGTTATTCAGCAGATTAGCTGATCAATTTTTTTAAAAATGCTTAGTTTTATGACTTAAAAGTCTGTAAAAGCATTTTAGTCATTACTACTTTTATCTTACTGCTACACATGTTGCAATTTTATGTAGTAATTCATATTTTAATCTTATTATCTGATCTTAATAAACATAATTATGTGCCGATATATATCAATTTACTATTTTGCAGTTTAAACATGAAGTATGTGTACAGCCAAAATACAATATCTTTAAAAGAAAAAAAGTGTGGAACTAGGTTTTAAGTGATATTTTAGTGTCAAAATTAGTGTGAGATTTTGAGGAATTGCATATTTCTTTGCCCACAGGTAAACACAGGTGCTTTTGAATTATGAGGGACAAACATTATTCATCATTAAGGTGAAAGACTTGAAGATCAGGTGTTAATTTCAAAAAATGCAATCTAACTCCATCTTCTAAGTGATACTAGTAATGATAGCTTAATTTCTGAAAATCAGTTTCATGTGGTCTACTTTAAAAATAAAATAATCATAAAATAGAAAATTTGTGTATACTCTGTCTTGGGTTCATTTGTATCCTTAGGTGGACTTCAGCAGAAAAGGTCTGGGTCAGACTTATGCTCAGTTTTTTTTTCATGATGGAAAATGGCTTTCATATGATAGTATTTTATTTTTGGTTTTCACATTAAATAGCAGCTCTGATCAGTGACACATCAAGGAATAAAAGGGAGTATTAATCCCGTATCTCATTACTCTTCCTTTGCGTGCAAACTAAAGTTATAGAAAACCCGAAATATGTTTTACAACAAAAGGTGTCTGAATAATTTAAGGTGATTGTACATTCCCTTGATAGCAGAGTTCATGCTATGCAGAGTCAATACACTATACTCTAAGAGCTAATACTTTGTTTTAAAGAGGAAACTGCTTGATGTAAGAAATTTTTTTTCCTAGCTCAAGTCCTATGTTATAAAATGACCTAATTTTTTTTCTTTTTTCTGAAGCTTTTTATTAGAAGATGGTGAGAGCTTTGGGCAAGGACGAGATAGAAGTTCCCTCCTAGATGACACAACTGTGACTTTGTCTCTGTGCCAGCTCCAAAATGTAAGAGTAATATTGTGCACTTTTTCTTACAACCTCACTGCAGAAACATTTGTTTAAAGGGAATATGTAACAGGAGCTCCTGCTGCTGTTTCTACAAACAGAAATGTTACTAATTCCAAGAGAACACTTCTTAGCGTCTGTGTCAGATTATGATTTATGCTATTAAACTGCTTTGTCTGCAAAAACTTACTAGGTTTGATTTATCTTCTGTCCCTCCATCCCTTTCCTATATCCCTGTGTTTCTTTTTTTTGTTACCTTCTTTGTCCTGGTGTAGTGCAGATAGTTCTGTAGTACCTGATATTCTCCACAATTGCTAAAGTGACTGGATAGTGTGCTTTAATTGGTGTCTGTAGATGACTCACATTATCCAAAAGAAAGATCAACTCACTTCAGTTTCAGCTCCTTAAAAGCTTTATACTTAAAGTTGGATACCAAGTTGCCAGTAGTTAATTACTAATCTTTGGAATATATAGCTATGAAACAGCTAGTTCAAAGGATCTCTTCAAAGCATTTTGCAGAAGTGCTGTCATGCAGTTTTCTTCCATCTTCAGTGGAAAACATCAGCATACGATAACTCATGACTTTGATGTAATGATGAGTTACAAGATTTATTCCATATATCACTGAAATGTTTTAATTGCTCATATGTCTTTGCACATGTTTATTGCTCTAGAATTAGGAATTTATGCTGCAATAGCAAATGCAATTCTGTCACAGTTAAAAAAAAACACCTTTCTGTATAATTACAGGGCTTAATACAGAAAGGAATGCAACCCCTGAAGTCTTGTTCTCCGCCGCCTTAATTTTGGGGGCAGTGTGTCAAATACTGTGTAAATATATTTCTTCAGTAAAACTTTACACACAAATGCATGAAGACAGACCAAAGAATTGGGATACTTTCTTTGCTTGGTTGATGGGGTTTGCATGGCAGGAGGGAGGTTAACAGTATGCAATAATTACTATAAAGTTGATGCACACTGCAGTTCCTACTGTTGTTCTTATGAAAGGTCAGCTTTTAAGGCTTTTTTTAAACCTTTTTTATCTGAAATTTTGGATATTGCTGCCTACTTCTATAAATACAGCAGAAAATAAGTATATACTGAAATTTCATTCTGAGGACGATGCAAGCCTGAACCTTGCACTATTAGTTGAAATAAATTTTTGAACTTACACAGTTCTTCAAACACCTTTTATAGAGCAGAGCATGATGCCTATAATCAAAAGAGGAGCAGTACTGAATGAACTGAGAATGAACTGTTCTGTCAGTCCCAGGAGGAACAGGCTGTGCAGTATGCCTTCAAGTTAAGGATGGAACTGCAAAACAGAGCACTGCAGGGAGCATGGTATTAAACATTAATCTTGATGCACCATAAAATGTCTGAAAACTCCAGTGAAAAATCCAGGCATGTTTGTTCATCACCTTTCCTGAGAGTGTCTGTATTTCCTAAAAGGAATTCAAGTTTGCATAACTCTTGAACTGATTAGAAACATAAAACCAAGTTGTGCAGTTGCTTTGCAGCTACTTGGATAGGAAGTCCATGAAGAAAGATTAGGAAAAGAAAAAGAACTATGTAATACTATTAATCTCTTAATCCATGATTATTAGAAGCCATTTTTTGTGTGGAAATAGGTTTATAGATGAGTTATCTTCAGGCAGGAGAAATTCCATCAACTCAAAAGACCTCTGTTAGTAAAAGTTTTTAGTGTTAAAGGCTGTCTGTATGCCTCTTTGCTGACAAAGTACTGAGCTAATGCTTAGGTCTCAAGGCAAACTACTAAATTTGGCAAATAAATTACTAATAAATAGTTATTGTATTCCACTAAGATTTTCACTTGAATTCTGAGCAGCATTCTAATAATAAATTATTTTTCTTCTTCACTTCAGAGACTGAAAGATGTTGGTGGAGAAGCATTTTATCCATTGCTTGAAGACGAGTAAGTGCATCTGTAAATTTGTACATCTATAAGGAACTGAATTTTGAGTTATTAGTTTTATTTGAGTGGCACACTGCACAGCTAGACATAACTGTCTCCCAAAACCAAAACTAACATGTCTTGTTTGGCTCTAAAAGTTGAGGGCTGGTAAACACTGCACTTAGGGCCCTGATACCAAACTGAGGACCTTAGCCTGTTTCTCTGTTCTGGAGAGAACAACTCAGCATAAACGCAACTGTTTATGCTGAATATTCAAAATTATCCATTTATGCTTGTTTCTGACTCAGAAATGCATCATAGGATATTAAATTTTTTTCAGTGATTTGTATTTCATGCTCTTCACTACTACTATCCTAGCTCTTTCTTTCCAGCCAGTCAACTTTACCTCATTCAAACAGTAGCAATGAGCTCTCTGCAGCTGCCAGTCTTCCTCTGATCATCCGGGAGAGGGACACAGAGTACCAGCTAAATAGAATTGTCCTGTTTGACAGGCTGTTGAAGGTATGGAATCTTTCTGATGCTGGATAATTGGATTTGGCCTGTTAATTGGAAGATTTTTAAAGGACTAAGTAATTGAAAAAGGAAGCAGTGATACAAGAGACCACACTGGGAAAGGGGAAGAAAACCCTACAAAAGTATAAGAAGACTGAAGATAAAAATATAAGAAATAGGTTTTTTTCAGTAGTGATGAATATAAAAGTAAATTTTAAAGTATGCACATGAAAACAGAGCTACTGCTAATACTGGTTACTTACTGATGAAAATAATTTTACATCCTTTTATTTCATAACAGACTAAGTTATTATAGATATAAATATGCCTGTTAACACTTCTGCATTTCCAAGCAGTAAGGTACTTGAAAACATGCCATAGCAGTGCCATGTCACAAATATGAGGTTTATATTGGGGGAAGAAATAGCAGTTCCTAATTTACATTAGAAGAGATGGATTCTTGTTTAAGAATGAGAGAGCTGATGCACATTATCAAATATAACCTAGAAATGTTTAATAAAACCAAGATGGGTGCATAGCATGAAAATAAAAAACTTCTAATAAAAATTTGGATTAGTAGATATATCCAGTATATACCGAAGCATGTTAATGCATTTATGAGAAAGAGTGGATATTTTAACAGCAAGCAGAAGTCCTTCATCCAGGCCTTCCAGTTAGGAATTAAATTTATTTTGTAAAACTTGTATTCTCTGTTCAGGCTGACAGTATTTGTCCTCATGGGGAAAGACTGTCCCAGGATTGGAATTGGAATTTTTTCAGTTACATGGTAACATTTTTTGCTGTTAATCTCTTCTCTTTGTAGGCCTACCCATATAAGAAAAACCAAATTTGGAAAGAAGCTAGGGTTGACATCCCTCCTCTTCTGAGAGGCATAACCTGGGCTGCCCTGTTGGGTGTTGAGGTAAGGGTAATGGGAGGACATTTGCAGAAGTTCAAATACTAACTGAGAGTGGAGTGAGATAGGAATGGGATTGACAGAGAAGTTGGAACTTACAGATTTGGCAGGTAGAGTTACTGGAATTTTAAACAAAATGAGTAATGAAATTGTGTGAATAAAGAAAATGTTCAGACCAACTTGCTTCTTGCTTCTAATGTTATTTGATAGATAGAGAATGTATGTAAAATTGACTGCCTTTAATTTTGATTATGAGATGGAAAAATAATACCCTTACAACCAAATTCTGTTAGATTGTTTAAATACTTTTGGTAGTTAACAGGGGGTTTGGTTTTATTTTTAATATTTTTGACAAATGCAGTTAGAATCCTTCTGCTCCAGTCAGTGATAGTTGGACAAAACAGGATGAAACATATCAAATGTATTTTTCTCATCTACCAATCAATGAATTTCTGAGAAAGACTGGAGAATAAATAAATCAAATGTAACCCTTTCAGACAAAGGACTAATAAGGAGTATCCTAGAAGTGAGGGCTCCTCACAGAGCTCCTCAACTACATAGCTTTTGCATCTACCTTGCTTGCAATCTGCAGCATGTAGCAAGGAGATTCTTGCAGATAATCCCAGGTTATTCAGAATATTTAGCTCAGGTTATGACCTTCTGAGTGCTATATAATATAAACAAAAAAAAGCAAAACTGCTGGTCAGGGTTGTAACCCGAGTCTTGGGAGATGAGTCAGTTCTCATGCTTCAGCAGCTTGCCATCTGTACAATATGGGTAGTGTTTCCCTATGCCATAACATTAAAATGGACTTGTTAGCATGCCTGTCTTGGGATTTAAGCGAGGACAAGCTACTAGAGTAGTGTATACTGTCAGTATCAATTAACAAGCAGCTGGATTCAGCGCCTTTCCAGAGATGATGCTGAAAGTCACTTGCCAGTGGCTGAGGTAAGCACTGAATTTAAATCGAGTGCATCTCTTAACTTGAAAATGGTAAACTGTATCAAGTACATAGCTTTCTGCATAAACAACTGATAAGCACTGAAGATTGTACTGGTGAGGTCACAGAAAAATCTATATGTCATGAATTAGAACGTAATGAAGGTGGTTTTCTTAAAGTTTAGTGTCAGACTTTTTTTGTACTTCAGGAAAGTTTTTCAGGAAAAAAGAGTTGCTAACTAAAGTACATAACAAAAACAGTCAACTTTTGCATATCCGCATGTACACTGTCATATAGCTTTTGTTAGTAAGTGATTTCTAAATTCAAATATTCTTCTTCCACACTTAGGGTGCCATACAAGCAAAATATGATGCCATTGATAAAGACACACCGATTCCTACAGACAGACAAGTAAGACTTCTGGCATTACCAAATATTGTCACTCGAAGATCATTTCTACCCTTTGGAGCCATTTACCTATTACAGAAAATGTGGTTGATAATACTAAAAGGGTTCCCCTTGCCCTCTAACCTTATTCGTGCTGTAGCAAGAATCTTGCAAAACAGACACGGACAAGTACTTTAGCTCAGCTTATGTTAACATGTGGAAAGTGAAATCCTCTTTCACTTCATAATCACTGTTTCTGTAGCAGCAGCCAAGTGTAGTGAACAATACTAGTGATATATTGTTAAAATTCCTGGTTTTATTGAATGCTTGTTGTGCCTGTTGGACCTTGTACAAGTGTACAGGTAGTGTACTGAGTAGCCTGAGATCCTGTAAGGTGAGTTGTGCTTCACAGAAATGGGGTTTAAAGCAATTTGGTTCTCCAAGAAGAGAATGTTCTTAAATGTTTCCCTTACCAGACAGAAAAAAAAAACATCAGGAGCAACAGCTGTTTCTTTCAGCTGGGTGAAGGACTATTTTCCATCACATTGGTTACAACATTGAGAACTCTCATTTGATTACCTTTTAGAGCAAAGTGATATTACCACCTGAAATGAGTCCAGAAGTAAAAAACTGTAATTGTTATCTGCTTTCTGCCTTTTTCAAGGGTTAGCACTCTTTTAAAAATATGAATGCAGCAAAAGAAAAAAAAATCTCTGTTTTTAAACTTGGACAGGGCTGTTAGGTCCCCTGTCAGTTTTGGTTTTGAGAGTGATAGAGGAAGCAGATTGTGTTTATGATGGTGGTCTGACCTACATTCTTTGGCTGACTTCCACCTCTAGTATTGGAAGATTGCTGTAGTACTACCCCACTTATCCCAATTTCTCTTTATATTATATGTTGGCTGTGGTGCAGATTGAAGTTGATATTCCTCGTTGCCATCAGTATGATGAATTGCTGTCATCACCAGAAGGTCATGCAAAGTTTAGACGTGTATTGAAGGCCTGGGTTGTTTCCCATCCTGATTTGGTTTACTGGCAAGGTGAGTTTGACTAGTTAGCAAGGTCAGAGAATGATATGGAAAGCTCTGACTGACTTAAAAATACCTCCCCTCTTCTGCCCCACAGTAGAAGCTCTTTTGAGTGCTTTTCTTTCTGTTTCCTTTGAAGAATGAATCTATGGGTTATTGTAAATTTAATTCCTAATAATCTGTGTTTAATTTGTAGTGAGAAATCACCTCAATCTTTGTTATATATTTACTTTTCTTAAGTTTCAGACACTTTGTTTAAAAACGAAGAGTCTGTTGCTTACTGTTCAGTTCCAAGGTAAAGTTGCAAAAGTTACTGAGTGAGTTCTTGGGATGATAATTGGCCTTTCTTGGAAGCTTTGGCAGAATATCTGTTCAGCGTTGTAGTTTAACAATTTGATATCCTCTCTGTTTTCATGCATTGATTTCACAGTTGTTCTCAGCATTACATGTGAAGCCCTGGTAGAACTATAACCAGTATCGAGTATGGAAATTTTCATGATAAACTAATGATTTTATCTTGTGCATAAAGATAAATGAGCTCTTTGTGCTGTTTCTTCATGGCTCTTCTCTCTTAGGTCTTGACTCTCTTTGTGCACCATTTCTGTACTTGAATTTTAACAATGAAGGTGAGTACCTTTTTCGGTTGGGAGTGAAGGGGAAGCACAGTCTGTCATCTGTATCTGGTTGCAGACAGATGTGCACACTTGCTTATAGATGGAAAGTTTCTGTACCTAAAAAAGGAATTTTAATGCTCTAGTTGCCATAAGTCAAAAGAAATGGTTGGGTTTTGAAAACTCCATGTGGTGTACTGCTCTTCAAGCAGGGGTTCAACTCCCGTGTTTATTGCAAGTACAATAATGATATATAATCAAAAGCACAAGTAACCTTGTATGTAAAAGTAAGAAATGCTGCTCTAGTACATGTCTATTTCAGTGAAGCTGTAGTTCAGCCTTCTTTAAGGTGAACGTATTATTAACCGAAGTGTTAACCTGTCAGACTAGCTTTATTCAGAAAAGCTGATGATAGTTTTAAATGCTTTAAAGGTTATCAGATCAGCTTTGTATATGTGGCCTTCGTCTTCTTAGAATGTGATTTGTTCAGAACAGGTCTAGTCCAGTCTTTTATTCTCTTGTACCTGGCTTTCTTTGTCTAAGGTCTGTGTATGGGAAAACTAGTTTCTTAGGACAATGACTCCTGTTATGCCTACTGTGCATACAATCATTTTTGTGTATAGATTGATTTAAGTATTTATGCTTATTATCTGCTTAATAATGAACTTTTTTAGGTGTAGTTTTGTTTCTACCTCTGTCATTGCATCCATTTTTTTAATTCTTTCAGCTCTGGCATATGCTTGCATGTCTGCTTTTATACCGAAGTATTTGTATAACTTCTTTCTGAAGGATAATTCTCATGTTATTCAAGGTAAGTCAGTCCCTTTATTTTTTTGTAGTTCTAAGAGAAGTAGAATAATTTCTGGATATATAAATACACTTTTTCAAGGGGTTTCAAATTTTGAATGCAATTACAATGACATAGCTGTGCAAGAAAATTAGGAACAAAATAAGCGGGTAAAGATTCAGGCAGGAGAGAAAACCCAAATGTGCGCGCGCACACACACGCAATATGTTCTATGTAAAATCCTAGGTAAGAGTCAGTCCATCCTTGCAGTACAAACAAGAGGTTCCTCAGAAAATGGAAGTTATGGTATTCAAGGAAATAGGGATTTGAGGAGAATTTCTTACTGCATGAAAGATAATGTCATTCAATACAGGACAGGAGTTGGAGAACCCTGAGGAATAATGTTCCACAGTTCAGTCTTCAACAACTTTATAGGTAACTCAGAGAAATTAAAACAATAGCTAGGAATGTCTGTTCTACCTGAAAATTAATTTTCAATTTTATGAAAACTTAAAAAAGGAATTGTCTAGAACTAGAAAGCCACTTTGGCACACCGTGTTGGGAAGATAATTTATCTTTCAGGCAGCTTTTAAAAACCAGAAGAAGCTGTTTGAAAAGCCATCAGTAGTTGAAAAAAAACCAGGTGGTAATGAATGTTATTAATTGCAAGCAGTTATGAGTGTTTATTGAATACTGAGTTTCAGCATGGCTTGCTGTCTTTATATTTCTTTTAAAGAAATCGTTTCGTATATTTCTTGTGAAACTCATCAACTTCAATCAGTGTCTGTCATTTTTTTGTGTTCAAAAAAGGAAATTAAGAACTGATCAACAAAACTAATTAGACATAAAAGCATTTACATGTTAGATGATCAGGAGAGAGCTAATGTAAAGAGAGATTGCAGCGGTTAGGAGGGTTTATGTAGGAAAGACAATGGGTAAGAGGTATTACGAACTGAATAAAATAATAGGAAAAATTATTCTGGAGAACTTGTTTCCATCCTTTTGTCTGTAAAGAAAGATTGCTTGCAGTAAAGGTCTAAAGATGAAAAGAACAAGTATGCTCCTCTGGAGACAAGTGCTTTAGACTTCAAGATTAATAGCTTGGTAAAGGCTTTTCTCAAGGGGGTATACTCTTCCATAAAATAATACTTTTGCTCTCCAGGGTTTCCTGATATTATTCCTAAGGAGCTTTACAAAAATATGTATCAGCTGAAGTTAGAAATCTAGGTCAGTAGGATTATGTGAACCAAAGCAGTGTAGGCGTTCCTGAGTTCTTGTTCAACATCTGGTATCATCAAGGACTCAGGGAGACCAGACCCTTTAGAATTCTTTCAGTATTCTAATTAATCTTTTCTAGGGTTGTATGTCAAAAACCAATATTTAAATACAGGTTTAAAGAAAAATTCTGTGTCATTTCCCTGCTTTATTGAGTTGGAAGAAAGTGTTAAGAATGTGTTATTTAACTGTCCACTGCAGTTTTACCTTCTTTGTGTCTTCTGTGTAGGGGTGGATGGAAGGAATCTTTCAAACTGCAAAGTTCAAAAAATTAATCTCTGAACTTGTCACATACAGCAAAGACAGCTGTTTTTTCTAAGCTTATCAGGGGTATTTCCTTATATGAAATAGGAAGCAAGAGCAGTTAAAGAGATTTTGGTATGCAATGCCCAATTATGTAAAACAGAAATTCATATTCCAACCAACTGCAATTGACTGTTTTTGTGAAGATGTCTGTATTTTTCATTAGTCCCTTAATTACCCATGTAATCCTACACAGTAACTATACTTCATGACACTGGCTGTTCAAATAAAGATGGAATCTATCAACCTGTGGTATATCCATAGAGAACCATAACGGGCACAAATCTTTATTTTAAGAACAAATGTATTTCAGGGAAGCTAATTGGGAAATTGTCTTCACCAGCGTGTGGCTGAATGTGGAGGATTATTGGTTTGTTATACCTGACTTGAGACTGCTGGCTGTTTCACGAAATAAAACTGATGCAAGATGCACTTTTTTTAAACGATTATCATGTAGTGTGGTATGAATTTAAGGCATGGGCTCAGTTATCTCCCTAACTTGTATGCATGTGAATAAGAATAACTTTGGCTGGAAACTGAGAAAGCATGAGACATAGGATCAGCTCCAAAGCAGTCTGGCTGTGGTGACTCAAACTCCTCATGCGTTTGTTTACCTACTTACCTTCCCAGCTGAGTGCTGAGAGCTGAGGCAGCTGTGGCACAGCAGAGGTGCAGTATCAGAGCAGAGAGGCTGGCACTCCTAAGATTCCAGAAATCTCCTGAGAAGTTTAGTGTGCTGTGGCTTTCTCATTGCAGCTTGAAGCAAAAAAAAGTTGTGAAATTCTGGAGTAGGGTCAAGAGATCTTAATTTCTTATTGCAACTTACCTTGGAGAATTAGGCATCCTTTTAAGTATAATTTGCAGTGATTGCAGGGATTATGGCTTGTTCCCCTAGTATTCTTACAGTGAGAGCATTGTTTTTTCAGCCCTCCTGGGGCAGAATGAGCTTTTAAAATTTCTAGTCCAAAGAGAATTTTACTGAGTGATTGTCCTTAACTTGCTGGCTTAACCAGAGAGGAGTTAACTTGAGTGCAGATAATCAAGATTTAAGTAATATAGAAGTCTATAAACAACTGAATGTTTAAACTCGCTTCTATTCTTAAAGGAGTCTGTGTGTGGAATTATCCCAGCAGAGCCACTTCTGTGCTTCTTAGCAGTGGAACTGGAGTTCAATTTTGCCACTTCAGGGTTGAAGACAAACAGCAGTAATGAATTATTTGCTCTCTCCAAGTGAGACAGCAGTAGGCATCTAGTCTTGCAGTAGACTTTGAAAGAAGCAATGGCAACTCTGGATAGCTAATTTGTGGAGCTGTGTGGACTTGGTGTATGGAGGTTTATATTTGGGGACAGTAGTCTGTGGAGCCTCGAGATGTCAGCATGTTCTGGAAGCAGGTTTCACATTCTCTGTCTTCCTCCTGTAGACTAGCTGTCTGGGCTTGGGAGCATGGAGGAAAAGGAATTGCCATCTGTTAGAAAACAGCAATATTATTGCCTCTTCATCTTCCTTCTAACAAAGCATATGACAGTGTGGGCAAAAGTGGGAGGGGGCAGAACAGAAAGAGAAATCTGTCAGTGTCTGTGTTCTGCTGTCTGCTTCTCTTCCAATTAAAAACAAATGTTATTTAGATAACTTAATGAAACTGTACCCATCAATCAAATGTGCCAGGCTGAAAGATGCAATAAATTTCTCTCTTACAGTAAGTATTTCTCCTTCTTGCTTCTAAAAAAAAAAGGCAAACAAATTAAGGTGTTACTGATCATGAAAATGGTAACCTTATAGCCCCGTTACCTTAAAACCTCAACTTTCAGATTGCAAAATTTAACTTTGTAGAAAAGAAACCACACAGAATATTGTTTAAATAATATAAACTTTTCGTATCACTAAAACAGTTGAAGTCTTAAAAATCCTTGGAACAGTCTTGTTTTAATTTGCTTCCACTGGTATTTTGTGGCTCATACTTACACTGAAAAGTCTTTAACTTTGCATGTCAAAGATGCATCACAACCTAAGAATGAACCAAGTAAATCATTGTTAAAAGTCCAAGTTGAGAAGTACTAAGGAAGAGAAATGAAACGTTTCTTCCTCTGTATTGACTATAATGATGACAAGGAAGACAGTGGTGTTATTCACTTGTTTTATTGTAGGTTTGAAATCAGTTGTTTTCCTTTCCTACAGCTCTACTGTGAGGTAGCAGCATATGATGGTTTGTGATTTGACAACTATCTTGCATTTGTCATTTCAGAATACCTGACGGTGTTTTCCCAGATGATTGCATTCCATGATCCAGAGCTGAGTAACCACCTTAATGAAATTGGTTTTATTCCAGATGTAAGTGCTAAGGGTCCCTATAAGTATTATTCAGAGGAATTAAAAAATGGGAAATGAGGGCAACCGGGATGAAATGCCTTTGCAGATTGTTTCAGTAGCACTTCAACAAAAGTGAAACTTCCATATTAATGGACCTTTCTGAATATGCTGATAAAATGATAAAGTTTGACTCTCATTTTGCATGCTTCAGTCCTTCCTGTTCTGTTGGGATGATAAATACAAAAAAAAAAGTACTATTAGCCAGTTACTATAACTTACAAATTCATCTTAAAAGGTGTGTATATTTATTTTTGAAATGTAGATTAATGTACAAAAATTAATGTGTCCCTAAATTACTAGCAGCAAAATTACTGCAAACTAATTAAGTGCTGTTGATTAACACAATAGACGTATCATTTTACAAGTAATAGCAAAAATATGTGCAAGTGTGGTTAATCTTGTAGATATATCAGACCTTGGAAAATTCTTAGCAGTCGTTTGCTGGAGTCTATCAGAAACATGGGACAAGTGTATAACTTAGACACAAGTTTTATGCTTTCCTTGGAAAGAAGTCTGTAAGATGGAGGAAAATGAAAATTGAGAACACAGACAAAACGTAGAAGAGAGGATAGACTATGCTGGAAAAAGCAAAACAGGACCTTCTTTAGAGGCTCACTTCTAGCTATGAGTGTAAATAAATAGTAAAGCTTTCCTCCTCCTTTTTAGAGAGGTGCATGTAGTCCAAAAAGCCGAGATAAAAATAAAAATGTTTGTCTGCCTACTATAGCATTATTGAAGTTTATGACTGATGTTTCTGAAATGTACATTTAGACAAGGCCATAGAGATAATGTTGTTATTTGTGGTCTATATCATTCTATATTTGGCATTTAGAAATTTTGTAATTACAAGTTAGTCATAAGAATGTGATGACAGAGGAGGGAAGAGGGAAACTGAAATCAGGAGATGTTCTTGTAGAAAAAAATTTCTTAAATAAGAAATTTATATGCATTGTTTCTATGTGCAATATAAAGATTACTTTATCGGAAAAGTCTTATGCTTATTAGGAAATATTTTAAGTTGGGCTACCAAGGCCAAGCCTCTGAAAGTCCTTTGTTGTGCACAGTTCCTGAGTGAATTTGTGGATCTTTGGGACTGGCAGATATTCATTATCGCTGTTAACAAAGATTGTAATGGAAAAGCAAGTATATATTCTCATTTGTGGAGGTGTTTTAATGTAATAATGTTGTTTGATTGATACAAGCGTAAAAGATATTGCAGTGTTAAAATAAGCAGAAGAGAAAGCCAGTGTATTGCATTATAAAGTGAGAAGTTTGACAAGGCCGTGTACTGCAGATGACCCATGTCTGAAGAGGGCAGGTGGGAGGAAGATGAAAAGAAGGTAATGAGAAGTGAGAACATTGATCTGTAGAAAGCCTAGATATTTGAGTAGGCGAAGGGCAGCAACATTTAAGTTCCTGAGGGAGAATCAGTTTTGCAGCATCACTGTATAAATGTACTCGATGCTTATTTGTTAAAGGCCACAGATGACCAAAGCAATTCCTCTGTGTATTTTGTCCAGGAAACTAGTTCCCACTGAAGTGGTAAAGATGTAATTTTCTTGACCACCTTACGGATCCTCATTTAGACTACTAATCTTTATGTGAGAGCTCAAGTTATATTTCAGTGCTCTCCACTGAAAACTTCCAAAGTACAAGTCAGATGGAATAGTTTAAAATCACGTTTTGTCATATTTTAGTTTGCATTTTGTTAATCATTGGACAGCTCATAGTCACACATGAGCCTTGTCTCTAAGAATTACAGTCTAGAAATTGTTAGGTAATGTAGTAAATAATTGCAAAACAGAGGTATATTTTTGGAAAAACCCTCTTGCATTGACAAATCCTTGTTCTAAAATTAACACTAACCTCTGAAGAGAAGTTGTCCTTCTAAATTGTCTGTCTCATTTTTGGGTTTTTTTGAATAGCTAAAAGTTGTTCTGACTTTCAGATTAGTGAGCTAGTGATTTTTTTTTTGTACTCGTAACAAGGCAGCACAGGATCCATCAAGGTGAAGTATGTGCGCTGTAGTAATGAGATCTGAACTAGAGTTTCGTGCTTGAGTACTAATCCTATCAAAGTAAATCCTGATTAATCTTTCATCATTGAAACGCAGGCTCCACTGCAGGGAAGATTGTGTTTCCTGGCACCCTTCTCATTTGCTTCAGGTCACGTAGCTCTCAGAATATTGAATACTGCTGAAGCTTGAATTGTTCTGAATATTATTAGCTGATGTGGTGCCTGGATTAGGTACATTGCTGTGGCTGTGTGATTTACATGTAAATACAGGGGTGATATATATTGTGAACCTTACACTTCTTCTTTGCTTACTCTCCCAAAGTTTATAATCTTTCCCACCCTATATAATGCTTTATAATATTTTCCTTAATTTGCTGAATAATTCTGACCCTAAACAGCAGACCATTTTGAACTGAAGAAAAACAAGGAAGTGTACTATGTTACTAAAAGTGTAACTATAGCCATAAATTATTCTAAAGCACTTTCAGCTGCAAATTTTGGAAGCTAGAAACAGTTGTCATATAGTCCTTAACAGATGTCAAAGTCTGGCTGCAGTTACTTTTATCATTGTGCTGGAGCTGCTAGCACAGGTGGATAGATACCTTTGCTTGATTTGGGTGATATGCAGGAGCTGTCAGTAATAGGGGCCTCGTCTAAGTGAAAATAAAAATCCTGCCCTTGAAGTACTTTACCTCTGTTCTGCTGCACAATTTCTTGGTAATGAATCTGAAGGAGAAGTTTCTTGCTGGTACATTTTATCTTGTGAAGAAAGCAATAATTCCTTAAATTTTGTTTGTGTAGGTGCATATGGATGGGTAGAATTTAATACTAAAAATTTGACTAGACTTGTATTATCTTTTGCACCTTTCTTAGCCTGTAAATATATGATTAATTTTCTAGGCACCATATAGGATTGAACCTAAGTATGTGTATGTGTGTATTTAAAAGATGGAACGTGAAGGTGAAAGATCCTGAGTTTATAGAATAAGCTATTTCATTTGGAAGGGGCCTACAACAGTCATCTAGTCCAGCTGCCTGACCACTTCAGGGCTGACTTAAAGCGTGCTGTTAAGGGCATTGTCCAAATGCCTCCTAAACACTGACAGCCTTGGGGCATCAAGCACCTTCCAGGAAGCTTTTTCTGGTGTTTGATCACCCTCTCAATCTTCTGTAGGTACAAGTGTGTAAAGCTTTCATCTTCTGGAGGATCAGTCAAATAATGGAACAATCCCAACAGTTATAACAGGCAATAAAAAAATCCTTATGGAAAAGGCTTTCATTAAGATTTGAGCCAATATCTCCAAGAGTTTTGAATGTTTAATGGAAGATGCACTTTTCTCAAAATATGGCCACCTAGCTATAGACAGGTAAACATCTTCACCCTGCTGAAAAACAACACAAACTGCATCTCCAAGCTCAGGTACTGAGCAGAATTTGTCACAGCAGAGCACCATTGGAAAGGAAGCTTTAGATAGGGATGATGGAAAGATGGAGAATGAAACCTAGTCTGAGGTCAACAGATTTCAATTGTAACAAAAAAAAAAACAAACCAGTGGATTTATTGTTTGAACGGGAATTGATTTTAAGGGGTTGCTGTGTGCTTCATATATAAGAAATGTCCAAATCATTACTTCAAAGCACAAAAGATCTTGTATTTTACTAGCAAAGCAAAATGATATTTATGGAACTGCTTGTCTAAAAGTAACTCTAAAGAAAACGAAGCACTGAGTTTACAGTATCTTAATGTGACTTATTCTCAGGCCGTTCCAGTGGTTCAGATGCTACTTTGATTATACATTAGGTATACTTCCCGGCTGCGGAGAGTTAAGTGTCGTTAGAAACCACAACCCCGCAATGTTTCAAGGTTCAGCCGTAAAGGGTTGGAAACCTCTTTTCCCGGAGCAGGTTATTCCGGGGGCAGGGCACGGCGCTGTTGCGGCGGGCGGTCGCTAGAGGGCAGCGTTTACCAACGCTGCGGTCAGTGCGGTACCCCGGAGCGGCCGGGGGGGACCGCGGGGCTGGGGAGCTGCGGCTCGGTGCGGCATCCTCGGTCCGCCTGCTGCTCCTTGACTTGCCGAGTGGATAATGCCACCAGTGTTGTGGCTTTCCTGTGGTTGCTTGTTAAGAGTAATCATAACGTTTTCAGGTTTACCAAGGCCTCCTTGTCTTAAAACATTTATTAAAAACAGAGGGGAAACTCCCTTCGATACAAGCTCGCCTGATAACCTTCTACTGAAGGTGTTAGAGCTACTTTTCATGTCGCTGCTAATAGTTTTGGTGAGGGTGGTTTAGAGTAAAGCAGTGCCTTTTCTTATGGTTACCTTTTAATAATCTTTAAAGTTTCTCATTTTGTGTATATTCTTGTGTATTTTTTTGTAAGTGCGTATACAATAGAGGTGTTTGTGAAATTAGGACAAAGTTCGGATCTGCTTTGGTAAAACATTTTAGTCAAATATCTGAAAAGGAGGAAATAATTTCTTTTAAATACCAAGGAATTAATGTAGTTCAAAATGACGTCCACATAATATGTACCTCCAAGCAAAGAGGAGCCTCAGGCTACTAAGCTTGTTTTCCTACTGCGTTGGAAGCAAGATATTGCATACAAACAAGCAGGTAAACAGGTATTAGCTGATAACAACCACGGTAGGGGATATTTCAGGGTACAGGGCATGTTATTATTCACTAGAATGCCATCTATTTAAGGCATGACATAGATATACTTGGGGAAATAGTATGAATGTATTGCAAGATTAAAATGGTGATAGAAATTGATTCTGGTTTAGATTTTGAACCCTTAAAATCAATTGGCAGGTTGGAGGCCAAGCTTCATAAAAGTCTCCTGAATATTAAAAGTGGTGAACAGTCTGGTCATTGCAGCTTTTTTAGTTTATGGACAGTATGGTTCCAATATTATCAGGTGCTGATATGAAGCCATAAGAAGGAAATTTAGAGAGAGAGATACTAAGAAGATTTTCAGCAAATGTGTGCATCATTTAGTCAGAGCCATAACACAGTTAAGAGTTTATGGAATAAGTAGTAATTTATTAACATAATATCAATTATGCTTTCCGCTCCTCATTTGTTTACTTCCAGGAGAAGCTTAATAGGAGGACTAATTTGCACTTTTTATGAGCTAAAAAGTAATATGTTAAGCTTTATGCCTAACTGTAAATCTTCAGAAGTATAAAACAGCACGAGCTATGCAGCTGAATAAAATTTGACAATGATCGTCTCACTCTTGCGTTCCTAATTTATGGGGACTTTCTGTGCAGTTTGTTTCAAGAAAATGGATTCTGTTGCCTGCAACATGCTGAATACTTCATTGAAAAATAAGTAACTCTCAGTGTATCATAAATGCTTAGCTCTTCACACTCTATATGATGTCATGAGGATGAAAGTTTGCAGAAATTAAAGGTTTTCTGTAGCTGTTGCAGCAGCACAAGTTCTTAGACAGTCTTGTAGTGATGTGAGTGCTGACATCAGGACATCATCAGATGGCACCTGCCTTTAAAGGTCACAGTAGAACTACATAAATGCTTAACTGATACTACTTTTGAGAATAAAACTGTTCTTAGTTCCTTCACTGAGAAGTATACATTTTAATAAATACCAACAGAGGAGAAAAAGGCAGATGTAGATATTTTTTACCTTGGAATTTGCAATTTGCACTTTTAGTTCTTTATATAAAGCCATTTTTTTCCATCGTCAAAAGGATATATTGAATCAAGTTGGTTTATCCTTTTTCAGGCATCCTTGGCTAATTTTTGCTTAGCTTAGTGAGAATTGTGACAGTTTAATGGAGCAGGTTTTTTAGTTATTTAAGACTTTGGGTGTTATTTTTTGCAAACGAGCCTAGTGAGGGTGGTGGTTGGTTTTGTTACTGTTTTTGATACAGTATTACAAACTAGTAATTTGAAAGACATTAGAACTGGGGATGGGGGATGGAAAAAGCTCAGGGGGGCTAAGAGTATGATAGTGGATCTACCACTGCATTTATTTTCCATTTTAAATACATTCATATGAAATAGCCAATTTCTAATGTATTTGACAGACAACATTAGTTCTCAAAGTATTTTTTTGTTTTCTTCCCTTCATCACCACCTTTTGCAGCTTTATGCAATTCCTTGGTTTCTTACAATGTTTACACGTGAGTATGCTTTTCCTTATTCTCTGATTAAATGTTCTTTTATTTCTTAAGTATATTTTTTCTCACTTTTTCAGCTAAAGCTTTCCTAATTGGTATAATATGTAATTTAATGGTATGCTTGTAATTTGCAAGGATGTGTTCTGGTTTGAAACTCAACACTGCCTGTCACTTACTGTCTGTCCTGGTTTGGCAATAGATAGCATTTCTATTTTTTTTTAGTTATTATGTTGAATTTGAACTGGATTATTTTACACATGAAGTATTTAGGATGTATGCAAAGGAAGCTGTTATCTACTGGAAAGAGATGTAATAATAGTTAAAAAACCAAACCAAACCTCACCACCGTCCCCTGCCCTCACCCAAATAATGGAAGAAACTGTAACTTTGTTTTTGAAGATCATCAAAAAAAGCTTTTTTTTTTATTGCACTTATACACACTTACTCTAGTAGCACTATGTTATTTGTGCATATATGTTAGGAACAAAGAGAACTTTATAATTTGGTGAGCTTTTAATTAAAGAAGACAAAGCTAATAAAACAAGTCTAGAAAGCAATTTAAAAACTTTTTTCCTCAAAGATCTCTGTGATTTTTTTCATGTCGTGTCGACATTGGCAGACTTGGAATTCAAACTTTTTAAAAAGTGGCAGAATTTAAAGAGTTGATGGATTATTTCTCTGATTAAATATCAAAGAATTTAATGTGAGATTCTTGATTGCAATTTCTAAAGATCTTGACTGTCAAGAACTGGTTCCTGCAGATGCCTGTTTTTCTATAACTTTCATGAGAATCACCAAATTTGGAAAACCAAGATGATTTCCTTGGCAATCAATTGCAATAAAATCTTAGAACTATTTAGTTGGAGGATAGCTTATTTTAAGAGAGCCACCTTCAGCTTTATATGCTATTTTTACTAGGCCTTTCTTCTTGTCTTTCCTTTATTCTGCCAGTATTTGCTTTATTCTGCTCATTCTTTTGTCTAATTGTAAGTAATTGATCTTATCGATTAACTCATTAATGTCTTCATACTGTGAAAAACTGATATGGGTGTCCTAGTGCATAATTACACTGTACCAAAAGAAAAAAAAATTGCCTAATTTTGCATAAATTTGAGATGTGAAAACCCACACACTTCCAAGTATTCATTCATGAAAGAGGACAGTGATGATTTCCAGAATAATCAAACTGCGTATGAAGACAAATATGATCCTAAAGAGGTTGAGTCCTCTTTGCTCCCAAATAAAAAAGAAAGAACTCATTAACACTCTGAGCATGTGTATATGCTTATGGGGTTTTTTATTGTGCTTATTTATCATACAGATGTCTTTCCTTTGCACAAAATTTTTCACTTGTGGGATACATTACTGCTTGGAAATTCCTCCTTCCCATTCTGTATTGGAGTTGCCATACTTCAACAGCTGAGGGATCGTCTTCTGGCTAATGGATTCAATGAGTGCATTCTTCTTTTTTCAGATTTGCCAGGTACAGAAAAAAGTATTTCTTCCCGCTTTCTCTGCCTTCCCCATTGTGTTGCTGAATAAAATATGTGCCTGCATGTAAATATGTGTTTTGAAATCATGGTAGATTTAGGCAAACTCACTGCCAGAGTGTGTGTGGGTCTTAACTACAGTTTGTTGTAGTTGGTTGAAGTCTTTTTACTGTCATCAGAAAGAATTCAGTAAGCCTGTTGTTATTTCCAGGTGAGGGTTGGAGTATTTTGTTGTGAAATTTGGAACAATTTAAAGTAATTCATAAGTGACTATTTTTAGACATACCACATATAGAAACGATCCAGTTGATAAGAATCTTTTTTAGAAATAAGTTTAGTACTGTTCTGAACAGTGCTTTTCCACTTTGATGTTGGTGCTAGCCTGTTTTCCTCTCAAACATAATTAAACTTTTACTGTGGAAGCAATCAATGTAAAAGGATTAGGGAAAGCAGTATTAGAAGCCATTGAAATTGCTCTATGTTAAATCAGTTTCCATTTGAAATTTAAAGCTTTCAGAAGAACTTCGAAAATCATACTGGAGGCTCATGACCATTGTGCAGAAGCTCTGTCTCCTTGTTCAGTGGGAGGTGGTTAACCTGTCCATACAAACAAGTGTTACATCTTATAAAAAACATTACCATTAACCGTGAAGCTTAGATCTTCTTTCAAAGCAAGTATCTAGTGAGACAGTAGAATGCATTTGAACTGAGTAAGCCATGTCAACTGGAAGATGTGTTTTTAATTTGTAATAACACATGAATAGGAAGGCTACCACGCTGAGAACATACTTATGTTCTTGTCTCCAACCCAGGATTTTACTAACATAATAGACATGTTGGTTAAGAGGTGGCACTGTTTTAATTGTGTGGCTTTTCTTTAGATAACTTTAACTTCTGGGTAGTTCCTGGGCTATTTATAGATTTATTGGGCTCTGTTTGAACACCATGTGTGCAATTCAGTAATTCATAATTTGTTTAAACAGAAGTTGTTCTTCAGAAGAGCTGAAGGAGATAATGAAGTTTGGAGGAACATTGAAGCTTAAAAAGTCTTAAGTGTTGTAGTCTTCACTACTGAATAGTTTACAGAGGTCTAGAATATGGCAGCAAGCAGGCTGAGGTTGAGTGCATAATTGCATAAATCGGTCTCTCAGAAGTTTAATGAGTTGTCATAAATGAAGCTCTGTGATTTCTTCTAATACTGTTGTTACAAATTCTGTTTCTCACTGTATACCCTTCCACATGGGCTCAGATTTCAAAATTTCACTTGTCTCCTACTTATTAGTTTAGTACTATGCATTTGCTACTTTATTTTTCCATTTATTTAATTAGGCCATTCCTTATGATGTGGATTTTTCATATTCAGGCTATATGCTTAGTCACTTCAAATGCTCGTATTAAATTTAACTAGATTAGCTATATTAGCTATTATAGATTAGCTATATGTCTTAAGTTAAATATTAATGAATCTATATTTAACTATTTTCTCACCTAAGGTCATTTTTCCATACTCTTTTTCCTTGAAGGGTGCTAAATTATAGATTCCAATTTATCATGAACCAGCTGAATTACTGGCAGTTGAAGTACTTTATGCTGAGATCATGTGTAAGAACACATAAGCATATCTGTTTATATAATAAAATTAATTCACTAAAATTTATAGTGTTGTAATGTACATGTGTTCTGCTGGTTATAGTTGATGACAACTTTGCTGATACTCTGATAGGAAATACCAGTTTCCAAAAAGCTGTGCATTTTTTTAACACTGGTGATGTCTGTAACATTTTGGATGTCAGCAGTGGCACACTGAATATTGTAAGGTTACTCTAAAGCATATCATAAAATAATACTAGTAAGACTACTAATGGAAAAAAGTGTGAGGGTGGAAGATAATCCTAATGTGACTTAAATGTTATTGGTTTAGCTCCATCAGTAACTTTTTGAACATATAATTATCATAGCCTTGTGCCTTCTCTTTCTGACCTGAGTCTTTTTCTCATTAAGAAGTATTGACTGATTATGCTTCTTGTCAGCTGTGGCTTTCAAACAAAACTTCTATTATTTTTGTTACAATAAATTGGGTGCCGAGGCTGAGAACTTCCTGAAAGTAATTTACAAGCAACCTTCACCTGAAACTGGGTCATCCCCAGGAAGAGATTATTTTCTTCAAAACATCTGCAATAATTTAATCTAAAATCAATTGTTGCTCAACAGTCTGAAACTCCTGTAATTTTCAAGCTTTTGTGCACTGGAATTTCAGGCTGCTTATGAAAGCAACTTGCTTTCCAAACTGATAAAAGTATTCTACTGCAATCTTGAAACTTTGTGGAACACTCGTTAAAGTTTTTTTGTTTTTACGAAACAAACAAAATCCTCAGTACTTTATTTCCAATTCACTGTATATAACACAGTTTCAATTTCTGGTTAAAAAAGTTAATGATATGAGGAAAAAGAAGCAGCCTCATGCCATTATTGATTACTTGATGCTGAAAACCCTTTCCAATGCTTGTCTCAAAGCTTTGGCCATATTTTGTCTACAAAGTCAATACAATTGGACATTACTCGCTATTTTTGGAAGCTCTATTTGAAATTTTAATTTATTTTCATATAGTTTAAACAATGTCCTAGCATATTAGGAAATTTATTTGAAGAATTTGGCAAAATAATTGGTTAATTAAGAATACTAGAAAGTTCCTTTGCTGTAGCCACAAATGTCCTAGTTCATTCCTTGTGGAGGCTGTATGAAAGGGACGTATATCAACTGCTAAAACTTAAATAGAATTAGATTGTTTAGGAAATAACTACCCAAGGTGTTTTTCTTTAAATTCTCTTTCATTTGTTCTTTCATATTTTTTCCTTGTGTTTAAGGAGCTCTGTTAAGTATGAACTTTACTGAAACAATGTAACTACCGGAGAAGATTTAGGAGGTACTATTTGAGACACACAAACAAAACCAACCCAAAGTCACTGCTAAACTTTATGTGTAGTTTAGAGATATAGTAAATTTTGTCCTATTCAGGTGATGCAGAGAGAGCAAAGACTGTATGCATTACCTTTGTTTTTCCTAAAAGTCTGACATGTAGCAGAATGTGGTAGGAACATACAGTGCCACCCCTCCACCTCTTCTGCCCTACCTGTTTCTCCTGAAAAGCCTGTAACCATCCAAGAGGGCACTCCAGTTACAGGTCTCATCCCACCAGGTTTCACTTGCACCAATGATGTCAAATCTCTGGGACTGGGCCAAAGCTTTGAGCTCTTGTTATTTTTCCACATGCCAAGTTCATTAGTGGAGAAACATTTCAGGTGTGGTATATTGTAGCCAACACCTCCTGAGACAGATTGAGAGATCCCACGTGTGCTGGTTTTCTCAAGTTTTGGCACACCATCCCATCGCTCATCACTGGCAAGCCTGGTTTTGTCCCTTTCCACCATCCAAGTTAGTTTAAAGCTCCTGCACTAAAACTCTTTTTCCCTTCTGAGATAGGTGCATCCTGTCAGGTGTCAGTAGACTAGGTATTGAGTAGATCATCCCATGGTCAAAAAACCGATTACACCAACCTCAGAGCCACTCGTTGACCTGGTCTATTTGCCTATTCCTATCAATATTATTCACTGTTACTGGAAGAAGCAAGGAAATCACTACCGGTGCTCCTGATCCCTCTACCAATTGTCCCAGTGCCCTGAAATCTGTTTTGATTGGCCTCGGACTTCTCTTTGTTTTTTCATTGCTGCCAGTTTGAACAATTAATAGCAGATAATAGTCGGAGAGTCTTTTTAACTGGAAAGTTTTCCAGTAATAAAAAAAATTATTAGTAAAAATTATTAGTAAAACTAGTAGTAGTAAAAAAAAAATTCTGAGCATGTTCCTCATCTTTGCTGTGTTAAATTGGCTTTTTGTAGATGCAGGTGTATTTCATAATGCAGTTCCTCAAGATTATTGACTTTGGTACAGAAGCAAAGAGATTCATTAGGGCACACCTGCTCACCAAGGCCGTTTAATAGTGTCAGACTCTGTAAGACTGATGTTTTACCTGAAGCTGTGAGTTCTTTAATTATTCACCTTTTCCACTTGTAGTGACACAAACAAGACGCAGTTCTAGATTATAGATTCTACCCTCTTGAGACTAAAGACAAATCCTTTATTTTATTCTGTAGTTGTCACTGGCAGAAGAAAATCAAATATATATCCTTTAGCAAAGGACTGTCTATCACAAGAGGTGGTGTTTCATAAAAAGGGTGAAAAGTGAGTTCATCAGTAGAACTTTCCTAGCATGTCTTAAAACACACAGTGACATGCGGCTTATGCCTTCTGTTTCTTGACAGAAGTTTGATAGTACTCTTCATAGTGAAAGGGCACTTCAGAAAATAGATAATCCACCTGTTAGTAATGTAGGATTTTGTGCACCTCTACATCGGAATAAAATCAAAGCAGAAGAAGGGAGAATGTCAAATATACTAGCATTTCTAGGCATGCAAAGACAAAATTCAGGCCACTCTTATCTGAGCTTTGCTTCTAGATATGGTGTTTTGTTTTTTTTCTCTATACAAAGGTGTCTCGGGAAAATATTTCCCTCTTTTTTGTTTGTTTTGTTTTATTAAAATTACAAGCATAAAATTGGTTCAGTATTGGACTAATGCTTAGAAAGCAAGAGTGTACACTAGACTTTTTTCTTTTTACAGTTACAGAGAATGTTGCTGACAGAGCAAGGTACCTAATAGGGTATCTGTCTGTAGTTTGGTTATGCTGAGTGTGTTTGCCTGTACAAGTGTAAATGCTCAATAATCTTTAGTTCTCTAACTGTTAATTGAGGAGAAGTTTTAAATGAACTGCACAAATAATGCAGCATTAAAACTTCTTGATTAAAATGTACATTAGCAGCACATCTCCATATATTGTATATATATTTGGGGACTGTATATCTAGCATTGTTATAGAAATAACCATAACTGCTTAAATACAGAATTGGAATGGCAGTGTAGGCTGAGAGCTAGAGAA